GCAAAAAATCTTCCAGCCCTCCAAAGAGCGAGATCATGGATGACGGCGGAGGAAATGAGCTTCCTCTGTTTGGGTTAGAGATATGGTTAGGAGTTTCATAATCCTGCAGGAGCCCAATGTAGAGCCGCTGCTCCTCACAATCAAAAGGAGTCATTTGAGGTTGTTTAGGGATGGATGGATGGATAGATGGATGGATGGATGGATGGATGGATGGATGGATGGATGGATGGATGGATGGATGGATGGATGGATGGATGGATGGATNTGGATGGATGGATGGATGGATGGATGGATGGATGGATGGATGGATGGATGGATGGATGGATGGATGGATGGATGGATGGATGGATGGTTTTAGCCTTTTAACAGGCTCACACAGGGAGACACTCCAGTAACCTGTTCTGATCGCCTCACTATCCTCTGCTGAACGCCGCAGTTTGCCATTTTGCAGCGATTGTAATTTGTGCCAATGAGGCTTTTCTGCTGGTTTGTGGTACAGAATGTCCACTCAATGTCCACACCGCTACTTCTACTACACTTAAAGACAAAAATGTTGCAAAATGCTCAGAAAAGTAGAGTTGGTCTAAATATTTATCATGTTTGGGCTCTATAGTCAAACTGTGTGGATTCCTGATAGCCACAGGAGAATAGGGTAAATAATTGGGGGGAAAATAGTCACACAAAGTTTTACTTTGGATTATTGTTTCTGTGCAGGAGAACACACCCCAATGTTTCCCATGTTTTAGTTTGTATTGAAAGAAAAAACGAACTGATGATTTGGTAGGGTTTGTTTCAGTATGTGCAGCTGCATGGTGGCCATGATCAGCCAAAGATTACCTGAAATTTTCATTTTGTGGTCGTCTGTAGACAGAAACATAAATAATTTAAAACTGTATATTTCTCCAAAACAAAGCCCAACCAGTATGTTTTGGTCCATTTTCAGTTCTTCTAGTATTTGTTGGCTGTACTTTACTTGTATTGCCGTAATGGATAAACTGTTAAACTTTCCAAAGAAAACTGGGTTTACTGTTTTGTTCTTGTTCCTTTTCCAATTGATTAAAGTGACTTTCCTCCTCAATATCTTAAAGAAAATGTCATTTGTATCTCTTTTGAAAGCATTTCAAAGGATCGATTAATTGATTAGTCAGTCAACCAATCAGCCAATTACAAAATAAAAGTGCTGTTTGGGTCCATATATTACATTAAAAAAGAGAAAAATAGAAAAGTTAAAATGAAAAAAGAGAGAGAGAAAAGTAAATAGGATGCTAACCAAAAACAGGCTGATATTTCTGCTCCAATGAACTAAAAGTATTTTATTGAAGACACTCTGTTTTTGTTTAATTCTCTTCTGAAGAGGATGCTCACTGATAAAATTAATGTTCTTCACTTTATGAATAATTCTTCTTTGTGAAATTATCTCTAGAGGTTCTAGGGGCGTTCCTAACAGAGAACAGAGCTGGCCTTCATTATAAATAATATAAGTAATTTGCTCTGATGCTGTTACCCCAACAGATGAGATTGTACTTTCCAAAACAAACTTAAGCATTTCGCTGTAAACACTGAAGAACCTAAGTTTCCTTTAGATTTCTTAAGAATTACAGCTCTGTCATTTCTTGTAGACGGCTTCACAGTTGCGTTTTCTATCTAGTTTGTTGTTCAAGTGAACACCAATGTATTTATACTCCTCCACCACCTCCACTTATCCTCCCATGATGTTAATAGGATTCAACTTGTTCCCGTTTCTTCTGAAATCTACAATCATTTCCTTTGTTTCCTTGACGTCCAGGATCAGACAACTGATTTTACATCATGCCACAATGCGGTTCAACAGCTCTCTGTACCCAGCATCTTGTCCATCCCTGATGCACCCAATGACTGCAGAGACATCCCAGTATTTCTGCAGATTACAGGACTCTGTCACGTCTTGTACTTGAAGTCTGAGGTGAAGAGAGTACAAAGGAATGGTGGGAGTACAGCCCCCTGTGGTGCTCCTGTGATGCTTACTAGTTGATTAGACAGCTGACCCTTCAATCCAACAAACTGTGGTCTGTTAGTGAGGTAGGCTTTGATCCAGGCGATTGTTGATGCCTGATTCAGACGAGGAATAGCGTTCGCTGAGTCCTCCTTACATTCAGTCTCCTGTAGCTTTAGCTTCTTCTTATTTTTATTCTTAATGAATGTATGATACCAGTTTACCTTCTGATCTTTACAAGAAGGATCCGTCGCGGCCCCGACTGACTCCTTTTCCCTCAATAATATCTTCGTCGCAAGCCTCTTGAAGAGCCGCCCTGTTGTAGTCGTGGTCAGACATACGTGCCTCCATATACAAATTCACAGACGGTGAAAAAAAAAAAAAACACTGGAAGGCTAAAATGGTTTCAAAAAGTTGTTAAACTAGGGACAAAAAACACTAAGGCGCTTTAGAGCAGGGGCAAATGCACAAAAATAGGGTTAAATCTTGGCTAGAAAAAGACTGTATGCTAGAGCCTGCAAAAACACAACCTCTCACTCCGCCATCTTGGGACCTCCGGGTTGGTTAAATCGGATGGCACGTGTTTCTAAGCCGTTTGTGGAGAAATGTCCTGGGCCGTGAATAGTGAGGAAACAGAAAGCGATTCTTGTGGGATGGAGGAATAAATAGTGAAAACGAAGAAGATTGGAAGAGAATAGCGTTAAAAAATGAGAAAAGGCGGAAAAGGCAGAGATAAATTGATCCTGTACAAAAAAAAAAAAGATCATTGTTTTTGGATTCTTGGTTCAGTCTTGGTATTACTCTGGTTGATCAACTGTTCGATGATAATGGGACCTTATTGAATTATGAAGGGTTCCTCTCTTTAAATTTAACCTTCATGCTTCCTCTGGAGAATATGCAAAGGTTTTTGGTTCTGTTACCCAATCACTTTCTTCTCACCAACAAGGTAAAGGAAGTCTCATTCAAACTCATTCACAGGATCTATCCACCAAAGACTACCTAAAGAAGTTCAAATCTGATATTTTGGTGAACTGCACTTTTTGTGATCTTCTCCCAGAATCTGTTACACACTTGTTCTGGTGGTGTCCATTTTCTAAGACTTTCTGGCAACACTTTTGTAACTATGTGCATCCAAATATTTTAAATAATTTTCAGCTTCATTGGAAAGACGTTTTATTTGGTTTTCAACTGCAAAGTAGAATGTTTCCCAAACCTTTCTTTATTAATCTTTTAATTATCCTGGCCAAATTTCACTTGCATAAATTCAAATTAAAAAAAGGCAGACTTTAATGTTTATTTAATTGAAGCCAAACAATATTTTCATACTATTCAACTCTCTTCTCACCAGAAGGCACAAACCATAGCAATCTGTTCCCAACTAAAAATTCTGGACAACTTAATGTTGTAGAAGAAATGTTTATTTGTAGAATGTATATATGTATAGATACATATGCACACATGACACTCCCCAGCACATATGTTTGTCAATCTGTTTGTCTTTTCTCCTGATTGTATTTATTATTTGAAACATACCCCCTGGCATATTTTTTTATTTGAATGTTTAATATTTTATTGTTGACTTTAAAGGGGAACACCATTTTTTTTACATTGGGCCCTTAATTTTACATTATTAAATCATGTTCTACTCACCCATATAAGTGTTGTGTCATTTGGAGCAGTTCTGAAGATATTCCGTTAGGTTATATTCAGTAACGTCTTCCTATGGGCAACGAGTTGAAGGCACAAAATAAACTGTTCATAATTCATTAGTTATGGTACTCCAGCATTCATAACATGTAGACGAATGACTGTCCCCCAGACATCCGCGTTTCTATTTTTATATTTATATATTTTTTTAAAAAGCGGAGTGTGTATGACGTCATCCGGGCGCCGGACTGGAGTTGTGACAGGCAGCCCGGGCCACAGGCGGCTACGCTCTACTCCTTATATCCATTCGGAGAGTAAAACTAGCAGCAGTTCAGCGGACAGGATGAATGAATGATAGCCGGCACTCGCGGATGACGTCATAAACACTCCGCTTTGTTTTTAAAAAATATAAATATAAAAAATATTGTGAGATGATGTGCAATACTGGCTTTTCCCCAAAATTCCAAACTTACCTGAATTCTCTAAGAAAGATGTTATTTTTGGAACTTTGAGAAAAGAAAGGAAGTTTGAAAGACTACTAAATATAATAATCATCATGGGCAAGTTTTTCATTCACAAATGTCGTTTTCTTAAATTCAAACCATCTTCCCCCTCTTTTCACAACAAGGAACTCTGCCACCTCTTCTTATCCCTAAAATTCATGAACAAAGAACAAGATGCAGAACTGTATATTCTGATAAACAATCAGGAGCTGATGAGACACCCCTAATGTATTTTGTGTGTTTTCTTTTTTTTGTTTTTTGTTTTTCTTTTCTTGTTTGGGCTTTGTTTATTTTATTTATGTATTTATTTATTTTATTTCTTATTTGTTCTGTAAATGTGGAAGCAATTTGTGTCGGCTCCTCAAAGTTTTTTCAGGTTTATATTCATCTAATGTCATGGTTTATAATAATGATAATAATAAAAAGAAAAAAAAAATATATATATATATATATATATATATATATAACCGCGGATGTCTGGGGGACAGTGGTTCGGCTACATGTTATGGATGCTGGGGTACCATCAATAATAAATTATGAACAGTTTAGTTTGTGCCTTCAACTCGTTGCCCAAAGGAAGAGGCTACTTGGATATAACCTAACGGAATATATTCAGAACAGCTCCAAATGACACAAAACTACTATGGGTTAGTAGAACATGATGTAATAACGTAAAATCAAGGGCCAAATGTAAAAAAATAAATAAATAAATAAAAATAAATGTGTTCCCCTTTAAGTGAAATAAAAAAATTAAAATAAAAAACTTGTTCTTTCCCATTTCTTGTTCCAATTAACGTCCAGCAGTCGTCGCTAAAACTGCAGGAACTTCATCCTTTCTTTGCCCAAATAGCAATCCCACAATCCCCTCTCACTCCGGTAGTGTATTCATTTGAATGCTCAAACTGTGTGAGGCGTTAACAGCGAGGTGGAGGATCTGCTTTGAGTTGAACCAGTTTTGCATGTTTGCCACTTGCACACCAGAGGGGCCTTTACAACACTCCACAAAATGAATCGGTTAGTACTTTGGACACGACGTAAATGAGGAAAATACCACCTTGTCGGAACTGCCTTCTTTTTATTCTTTGATGTTCCCTGAGGTGGCAAAGCTAACCTGTTAGCTAGCTAGCTAGCTCGTAGCCGCGGCCCAGCTTTTTTACTTTGAACGTGTCCTTGTATTCCTTGTAGTTAAGCTAATTGCTAAAAGTTCAAGTTAAAAGTGACGTTAGAGCATCATTAATCAGCTTTAGGTAGAATAATGTAGTTATATCCGTTGGGCGGTGGATGCTTTCATGATTAGCAAGGCAATAAGTCAATTAGCTTTAGTTTAGTTCTGACTTTCGCTGCATATTTACCGTTTTAAACCGGGCACCGCCTATTGTATTATTGTTGTAAACATTTATTCTGTTTATATACACTCTTTGAAGCAGTCTAAGGAATAGCAGTTGAGGCGTCCGCCTTTTTTTTTAGCTGCCAGCTCCGCATAATTGAGTTATACCATCAATGATTGTTGTAATGTTTGTCCAACAGTGTCACTTATTATGGCAGCAGGCAAGCTCTTTAAAGTCAGCTGCAATAAATCCGATGGCTTTCTGCGGCCCTGCCTGCATGTTTCCACTGAAAAGAACATGAAGCAGGTATGAATACAATGATAACTGTTGTTTTGTATGGAATACTGTTAACGTGTGTGTTTTAATCCTGGTGACAGTGAAGTATAGTGCAGTGGTTTCTAGTAGTGGTAGTGCCCTCATCCCCTATGCTCTTGTTTTAGGTGGAATTTAATAATAAGGAAGAATTAAATGAGGGCAGGTGAGTCTTTGTTTTTACATCTGTGGGGTTCATCCATGTGTAACCATTCGCTCACTGTCCCACAGACCAGTCCTTCTCAGCCACTGGAGTATTTACAGGTAGACCTCAATAAATGTGAATATCATTGGAAACTTTTGATCTAATTAAATTCCAGAATTTGCATTCAAATGCCACATAATCTCATTAGATATTTCTATATAATTTGTTATTTGAATGATTAACACCAATGCAAATTCAAGCTTTATTGAGATTGTTATACAGAAATGGCCTACAGTTGATGGTAGAAAACTGCAAACCTTTGCAACCAACATTTGTTGAGCTTTCTTTCTTTGACATCTTCTACAAGGGTAACTGGTAAAGATGGGTGTTCAGAGTGCCCTATCCAATGTGTTCCTTCAAATTCAGTTGTAGAAAATGGTGGTTTAAAATAACAAAGGAAGATTTGGAAGCAATCAGGGATGATTGTAGAATTGAGAAGATTGTGAAGTAAAGCCTATTAAATGGGGAGATTTACAAAACATGGATTACAGCTGACAGTGCTTCAGAAGCCATTTTGCACAGACTTTGGGCTTGATCAGGGGTCTGTAACCTTTCATATCCAGAGAGCCATTTTGCGCGAGTCCAGTGATGTAAAAGTAGTTTAGTAACGCAAGATATTACATAAACACAGCCTTGTAATTTAGTTAAATATCTGCCTTAGGAAATCAGTTGCCATCTTAAAAAAGAAAAAAAGGAAAAAGATAATGCCAATTAATCCAATGAAGCATGGATTTTCTTCTATAGGATATTATTTGATATAAAAAAGTCAAAGTGATAATAGTAAAACATCATTTCCAAGCTTGGTAAAATAACAATATTTCTGGTTATTTTAATGTGATTCTGTTGTAAAATATTCTTTATAAAAAACACTAAAGCTACTAAGACTGGTATTTGTGATTACACTACATTAGTTTGTTCTTTGTCATTTTTAGCGACAATTAGGAGTCATTGAAGAGGGTCCAAAGAACCACATGCATCTGGAGCTGCAGGTTGCACACCCGCGGGCTACATAGTCACCCTAGTAGTCCATCCAGTTACTGGAAAATGATTGACAAAGCTGATACTGGAAGAACCACCTATTTTCTTCTATTGATGGCCTTTTCAATATAAAACTATCCTGTAATATTTTCTGTGACAAAAATCAATGATGCATGGTATTAACCAGCTTTACCTGTTTTCATTGCAGTCGTATTTTTTCTTAGCCATATTGATGATTCAGCCTTTCTCTGATCTATGAAGGATGTGGGTTACAAGCATGGCAGATCATGTGCACATAAATTTTTTGCAATAAGAGACTCAATGTAGTGTTTAGTGCACAGGCAGTATGAGTGTTGAAATGATTTGTCATTATTTTACAAAAAAAAAAAAGTTCTATCTCCAAAATCTCACAGCTTTACAATTAAATTTCTCTACTGCGAGGTCAGTAAAGTCAATCAATTAATCTGGCAAAGGTTTCACCATTTCTGTATAAAAATACAAAAATTTTGTTATGGTTTTGGGTACAGGAAGTCCATTGTGTTAGGGCCAAAGAGCCACTTGTGGCAGACTCCTGATTTTGGGTGATATTCATATTTTTTTTAACCTTTTTTTTAGCTTAATTATTCAGTTAGCTGTTAATTAAAATTGTAAAAAAAAAAATATATATATATATATATATATTTCGATCTGCATGTAACTAATCTAGAATTGATCACTTGAATAAAGTTTTCAATGATGTTTTAGTTTATTGAGATGCGCCTGTAAGTCACATTTTCATGCCCATCAACACGGTTTAATTTTTTGGCTTTGCGTTTTTCCTGACACTTGATCAATCAGAGCTCTGTCCCCTCATCAGATTCCAGGTGCATCGCAAAGTGCAGAATCCAGGCAAAACAAAGCGGCCGTCGCCTTGCAGGAGGAGGGGCTGTTCATCAGTCCAGGTCGGCGCAAAGCTGCACCGAAGGTCATCAAATGTAGGCCGTCTTCGCGGCCCCGGTATGGCCAACAAAGAGAATGAGGTGACATGCTCCGATTACGTGCGGGGCATTCACTCCGGGCAGCCGATGAACTCTGCTGAGGCCTCTAAGATGGCAGGGGCCAGATCCAAGTACGCCGACTTTACCGAGGTGAGAAATAGACCTGATGTAAAAACCTTTACCTCCTTTTTTTATTATGGCGTGTGGTTAAAAACAATACACAAAAATATTCTTCTTTTGTTTATTTTCCCCCCATAAGCTATCAAAAGACCATGAAGCTATGACTCACATTCTCTTTGGAAGAGATCTCCGACTTAAGGTGGCCCTGACTCTATGGCGAAGAAATGCCAGCGAGTTGGTGTCCTACCTAAAAAGGTAAACTTGGTTAGCATCTCCTGGTGTTTTGGGTTTTTTCACATAAAACTCACCTTTAGTCGTGTTTGCTTTGTAGAATACAAGACACGGGGGTGCTGCTTGACTGCTTACCCGTCTTAACAAACAAGTAAGTTGCATTTAGCTTTTACATCCCAAACTGTTGACTTCACAAAACCAATTTTAACTGGAACTAGTCACTTAACCATTAGGGGTATCCTGGTCCGATAATAATATTGGATATTGGTCCAATATTATCTAAAAAGTAATATTGAATTATATCTAAAATTTCAGATGATGGGTCAGTTCTTATAACTGTTGTTGTCTGTTGTTCACCGTTTTAGTATTAGGACTTGATCAAGCCTTTTTTAACATTATTCAGTCCAAAATACTAATAAAAGCGAGTATGATTCATGCTAATATCATATCGGATCTATATCTCTATTGAATCTGAAATTTAAAAAAGTTCTATTGGGATACCGCTAATAACCTTATTATTAGGAATAGGAAATTTATACATTAATAAATATAATTATAAGCAATTCAGATTAACATGTTTATCTATGTTCTTACTAAATGTCTTTGGCCTCAAATCATGGAAATATGTGTTTTTATGGCTGAATTTAATGATAAACATTAGCCATCACCAAAGACCGTTGCTTAAATGTAATCATTAAAAATTCCATCCGCCATTTCTGCCTTTACACGGAGGCCTTTAGGTGTATGATCGATTCGTCATCAATTATGAATTATCGTTCAATTGATTAAGTTTCTTTTTTCTCTGATTTTTACCAGCCTTCAAACTGAAGCACCATGTTTGTCACCTGGTTGCTGTGTTGATCTCATGCCTGAAGTCAAAGTCCTTCTTTCCAGTAAATATGAGGAGTAAGTACTCTGATCATCAGAATCACATCTTCATTTGAGAAGCTCAAAGTTTGGAGGTTTGATCAATTTATATTTTCCTGTTAACTGTCTCCATAACCCTCCAAGAAGTTTTAGATGATGGCCTCTGCCTAATGATTTTATTCCTTCCTTTGCCTCCTTCTTCTAACATAAACTATACATTTATAACAGGGACATTACAGCTGTAGTTTTTGCTGAATGGAAATAGCCCTTAAAAACTGAGACTTTTAAAATGCTTGTTGTTAGTAGCCGCTGTTGGGTAGCGACAGCAGGCCGCTGTGACGGCAAATCCCATAATGCTTTGCGAGGAGAGCTCTCTGTGTAAAGCAGTCTGCAATGCATCTGCCTTTTCTGAGACCTTTCTTTTCTTCTCATACACTTTGTAGGCACATTTTCCTCTTTCAACCCACGGCCATTTTCAAAGAACCGTGGTGAGAAAGATGAGCTTCAATGACTGAAACCGTAGCTCACCGCAGATATACGCCTGAAAGTGCGCATGTACAGAAAAAGATAACCAACTGGGGACGAGCACGTAGGACGGCCTTATGTAAACCTATCACCAGAACGATTGAGAATCAGGATGACCACTTATATAAATGATCCACTCTGAAATAAAAGATGGTCTCCTATACCTTTAAGGCAAATCTGTATGCACATTGATTTTGGTTCCTGAAGGGTTAGACTGTTTCTCTGAAGTATTTTAACTTAAGGGAGAAGAGAAAAGCTAGAGGTGGGAATCCCATTTCCTCAGAAATGGGGTTCAGACATAAACTTACAAATAAAAACAGATTTTTTATTTTTATTTAACCTTGCATTTGTGACTCAAAGTATTAAATGTATCATTTTGCTTGCATACCTCGTAATAGTATCCTGTGAGACTTTTGCCCATATTAGTCTGAAATTAGTGACTACTTCACAATCCTGAACCGCTGTCGACACGTTAAGCTCTATCTCATAACTTTATAGGTTGCTTCTTTAAATTAAAAACATCATTTTAAGTTAGAAGATTGAATTAAGGTATTGAAACTTAACTTAAACAATGTAATGCTGCATTCACAACGGGCACATTCTGGGCTTCAAAGTGTCTGGTTTACATGCAAAGTCTGTGGGCACGGCGTTGACAGTTCAGTACATTGAACTTTTGCTGCTCGATGCCGGAGCGTCAACTGATCAGAAAAGCTGAGCCAGGACAGACGTCCTGCAAGCTGTCATTGCTTCTGCAGAAAATTTAAATGTGAATTTTAATAAATACATTGTAATAAATATTAGAAAATGCCCACCTCTTCTTTAGGACTAGCAATAAATGGAAGTGGGTAGAAAACCTGTTGGACCTAACTACTATAATTTCTATCTTTTTTTGGACAGACATGTAACTGTGGGTTTACACTGGGTTCAGTCTGTGATCAGGAAATGGTGGCCTGAACTTTCCAAAGCCGAGAAGAGACTGCAGGACAGTTGCTCAGAAGACAGGTCAGTTTATCAAATTGATTGCGGGTTAAAAGTTTGTGGTAACTGTGGTTTAAATAGCTAATGTGGTAGAATCTACTTTAGGACAAAGACATAAAGACTGGAGTGCTTTCAATGGTATCTTCTCATCAAAAAAGCACTTTGTTTCTCTTAAGTTTGCTGTATGTCCTGCCCATTCTCCAGGTCCGAGATAATAACCTGTTAATACTAAGCCTTTGACAAACACTAGGGAAACCCTTAAAAACATTTTTGTGTCACCAGGAATATTGATATCATGAGTCAGCAATTGAAGGACTTGTGGAAGGAAGAATCCCGATTATGTTTGGTTCCAGGTTCTGTTGGAGAGCTAGCAAAAGTGAGTTCAGTCTAAGATTTCTTTTAATTCGTTATCCATCTTAAATGTTCTTTTGTGTCCAAAAAGAGAATATTTAAATTCATACATGTCGTGTCACTAACTGATAATGTGCTCTCTCTCATTTGTATTCCAGGCAATTGAAGCTCATCTATCTCAACTGCCCTGATAGTTAAATACAAGTAGCACTCTGAGCATGTGACCACTACTGCTGACCATGGCTGCATTTTGAACTAATAATGTTTGCCAGAAATGGACTGGTTTATTCCATGGACACTCGAATCTCTTAACTGGGACTGAATCTGACAATTCAGATAATTCTTCTCAGCGAGAGCTGGAGACTCCTCTGGAGGAGCGCAGCAAGCCTGCACCGCAAATGACTGCTTCACATTGAAGTGGACCGTCTTGTGAAGAGGCATGTTTAGAGGACCTCAAGAGACAGGGCGTTATGTTGCTCTATTAAGTGCCAATGTCTTTCTCCCACTACACCACTTATGTTTATGAATTCCCTGTTTTTTTGTTTTTTTCCTTCTGTGTGCCTGGTTTTTCTCGAATCAGGAACTTGAATCTGTAAGAGTCTAAGTTATTAGTGTTTGTTTTTTGGCCTCTTTTGATGTTTGACTGTAAACTGTCAAAACAAGTGATTCTTTTAATTTTCTTTTAAATAAATTTCCATGAAAAAAAAACTGTATGGCTATTCTTCCTAAGGTCTCTATTGGTACTGTAATGCAGTGATATTTTGATCTGTAAAATAATTACTATTTATTCTCTCGGACTAATTAAAGGTTAAAGCTGGTTGTAGGTATCAGTGTAACTCGGTAAGACTTGTCTGCCTGTGACTAGCAATGCACCGGGTAACGCCATAGTGTTTTTGAACCTGTACAAACTTTTATGATCATTTTACTTTAATTGTTTACTTTAATTGCCATAATCTATTATCTTCCAAGGATTAAAATAATCTAGTATTGTTTTCTTGGATATGCTGAGTGGATTACCCCATTGGCTTCCAGGGTCAACGGATCCAATTCCATTAGAGCTTCTTTTAGATTTGGGGTAACAAGATTCAGTTCCATGATGCTTTCATTTTAATATGGTCCCAAATATTTCTGGACCTTCGAACATGTGGTGTAAAGAATAAAGTTTTTTTTTTTTTAGACAATACCCTGTAGACAATAGTCTGGCCTGCATTTGCATGGTAATGAGGTATTTTTTTAGGGCAGTTGTCTACAGATTTCACTGTTAAATGATGGACACAAGTTCCTCCAAAACCTTTGCTTTTAATTCTGTAACATCTAACCAACAAACATCCTTGTTTGGGTTGTAGGTGCAAAAGGTATTTCCTTTTCCAAAAAACTATTTTTGCCTAAAACATCTATAATATGACAATAAAATCCATGTGCTGTGGTAAATGTTAAGCTTAACACTATTTCTGTTGTCAGTTCTGCTAATGGGGAAAAAAAAGTTTTATTTGGCAATAAATAATTCTTGAAATATACTCATAATGCATTAATCTATATAAGCACAAAAATTTTGAAATAAATTGATGTTTGTTAAAACAAACGCTATGGGCTATAATTGTGCTGATTTATAGAGGTGCATCTTGAGCGACTTGGATAAAATCGTTTGTAAAGATGTTTGTATTTTTTGAAGTAAAAAATATATTTTATATGTACAACTTTTTTTTTTTACATATTTACTATTTTTTTTAAAGTAGGCCCACATTAACATGTACAAAGACGACAAAACTTGAAAAGTGAAGTTCAGCTCTAAACACCTTAAGAAGTACACTTAATTAGTAGGTTGAAGTTCAATGACCGGTAATTAAACACCATATAAATATATAGTATATTAGAAATGTTAATATGTTGGAGTATAATTAATAAAAATAACAACTAGAACTGCTTCCTTACTAAAATAAAACACGAAAATCATTTGTTAAATCATTTTATTTTTATTTTAGCACCTTATGTTTTGTATAATGAGCTTCCGGAAATGACGCAATTTCCTGCAATAGACAGCTGATGTTGATATAAGCGTTTCTCCTTAACTAGCCATCGAATAGATGTCATTGAACAGTTTATTCAAGGTCGCTTTAGTTTAACAAAGACGGACAATATGTTGCAGAGGGGAAAATTGCAGCTGCTGTGGCTTTCGATGCACACTGCGCTCGTTCTGGTTAGCTGCTTCACCGACATGGAAACGGGGCCTGGCGCAGGCCTATCAACTCAGCCGAATGGGGACAAATTCAAAATTGAGGGGCGAGCGATAGTTCCAGGTGTGAAAACGCAAGACTGGGTATCTACGGCAAGAGTCTTGGTCGAAGGCGAGGAATACGTCGGTTTTCTGAGGTAAGAAATTCCTTCCTTCAGACAGTCCACTGGTTAGCCCGGATGCTAACCATTAGCATTGCTAATTAGCATCTCAAGATTCTGAAGCTTCTTAAGCACGAAACCATTTTTTAGGCTATCGTGTTTTGTCTCTATTGGAAAAAAAGGTGAAGTGTGTCATCTAGATAGTTTGACATTGTATCTCTTTATGAATTGTGTTTAAAAATGATCTCCTTCTGTTAATAATACAGAAATTAAGATAGGACCTGTCTTGTGCACAATTAATTTTCCAAAAGTATTTAAAGAAAATTTCTTTCCCTTTTCTTTGTTTTTTTTTTTTNCCTTTTTTTTTTTTTTTTTTTTTTTTTTTTTTTTTTTTTTAGAACTGATGGGAGTTTTGCTGTGAATGACATCCCTTCAGGATCTTATGTTTTGGAAGTTGTTACTCCTACGTATAGATTTGAACCAGTCCGTGTTGATATAACTTCAAAGGGGAAAATGAGGTAAGTTTTTAATATGATTCTAACCCTTATTTGTTTTGGATTGGCTATTATTGTTGTCCTATTTCTATTGAACCCATAATGAGGCTGTAATTCTTCCACAGAGCGCGTCTTGTAAACTACATAAAGACTTCAGAGGTGATTCGTCAACCTTACCCACTTCAGATCAGAGCTTCTGGTCCTCATAGCTACTTTATGAAGAGAGAAACCTGGGGCTGGACAGATTTCCTCATGAACCCAATGGTAATTGAGATGAATTGTTGATGCATATTTTTATATTAGCATTTGTCATCAATTTACATAGGAACTTTGTTGACCATAAATTAAGTTGCAAATTATTTTTTCTTTTAAATGTGTCTTTGTTATTGCTACAGGTTATGATGATGGTATTACCCCTGCTCATAATTGTTCTGCTGCCTAAAGTTGTGAACACAAATGACCCAGAAATGAGAAAGGTAAGTAAATACCTTTCTGTCTCTTTTCAGTGGACTTTGTGGAAAAAGTCTGGACTTTTTTTCCAAGTTTGAAGACGTTTTGCTTCCCATCCAGGAAGCTTTTTCAATTAAAAATGTCAGAAATGACCTTGAGTTCGAGGCTTTATAGAGTAGGCCAAAAACAAAGCCTTGTTTTGGCTTAGAAACATGCAGATTGAATCCGACGAACTTGTCCGCCCCTTAGGAATGGGCACTGGTTTGGGATCTTTGTTAGCCTGCAATACCTGTTACCTGTCTATTTCTCTGAAAGGCTGGGTGGTTATGGGGAATTGTTGGCCTGGCTTAATAGGCGAGATGTTCTTTAGGTCTCTTGTTGCATGTTATCATGAGCAGCAATGTCAAATGGAGTGATGTTTAAATGCTTAAAAAATAAATCACACAAAATCTCTAAATGCACTAATAAAAGTTTATGGAAAATGTGTGATTGGCTTTGTAAACCTTTGACCTACTCAAGGAAGTTTATTTATATTGCACATGTCAGTGGTAAGACGACACATAGTGCTGTACATGAGAAAAAAGAAAAGGAAATTGTGATATGGAGGCAACACATATTGTTAAAGATAATGAAAGTGACATATTATGTTATGTTTTAAAAAGATAACATGATTTGGTGAAAAAAAAAAAGATTAGTGGAGCATAACAACCAAACACTACTTTAGTTAGCTTCTCAAATTGTTGCTGTCTTTGCAGGAAATGGAGCAGTCCATGAACATGCTGAACCCTAACCCTGAGCTTCCAGATGTGTCTGAGCTCATGACCAAACTCTTCTCTGGTTCCAAGGGCTCCAGCAAGGCAGGCAGCAGCAGCAAGGGCAGCAGGCCAGTAGCCAAAAGGAGGTAGTACTGTACATGACTGCTGGAACTGACTTACCACATTAAAACAAGATTTTTCAAGTGTCATTTGAATTTTTTCCCCCCACTGTATCCGTGTCCACTGTACAGATATATCTATGAATCAATGGTCTGAGATCACCATGGTTTCTGACATACTGTCTGAAACAGAGCTCTACCTTTTTGTTTCAAGGTGCACTGAAGAATATTTCTGCAAAAGCTTTTATTCCTACTCTACTCTTCATATACTTCCTTTGTGCAACAGCTATCTGTCAGTTCTTCCTGTGTATTTTTCCCACTGCTGCTAAATTCCTCTATCTAAAAAAAAAAAAAAAGAGGCTATATACATATTTAGAGTTTTTCAGTTCTCTAACAGTTTTGGTAATCCGACTGTGAATGAAGATAGATTGACATTTTAAAATGGTTGAATCTTATTTAAAAATCTAGATAAATTAAAATGCTATATAAATGTTTTTTTTTTATTTGAGAAAAATCAGATTTATTTGGGAGTAAACACATGACCTCATTATATGAATAGTAAAGGTGTACTGTATGCTTTCAACTCTCGAACTGTACTTTATGTGCCTGAGATGTAAAAAATTTGTGAAAGTGGTTGACAGTTTAACGATGAAAGGAGCTCTGTGGGGTGCCGCTGGTTTTCATTTTTAAAAAGGTGGGGAGCAAAGTCAATATTAAATTCCTTAACACACTTGTACGCGTAAGATGTCATTATTTCCTAGCTAATTGGGTTTTTGCACATGCTGATTGTCATGACTATATTTTTGTATCCACAAAACAGGTTTAAAAGTCTGGTTATCCAGTTGTATTTGAATCTAAATGCTGTACTTTACCCATCTAATCAGACACAGTCATATTGCAATAGAAGAGATTAGCCTGTCTGTCTGAACACACCCTTTGCTATTATGCTTGTCTTAATGTTTGAGTCACTTGGTGTTACAATGCTTTTCTTCACCTATGAGTAGTTTTTGTTTCCTTTTTTTTTTAAGAACTGTTCCATTATTAACTTGACTGTTAGACTATAAAAGATCATTTTAAATTAACTAATTTAATTTAATTTAATTAATCTAGTTCTTGATGATTTTTTATTTTATTTTTTTTCAGTAACAACTAAATGGTTTAAACCTTAGAATTGGATCCAAAGTCTATAATTATCTCTTACAAGATGGAATCTGCCTTAATGTTAGCCCCCAAACAACTTTTATGCTTGTATTTTCTGGTAGTCACGAAAAGCTTTTAATGGATTGTCCTAATTTTTCATTTTTTTTCCAATGCCTGCATCAGTGATTTTTTTTTTTATCCAGGCTAGTTAAAACAACCCAAAAAATGTCTAAAACTTCTGGTTACTATAAGAGAGGCCTTTGATGCCATCTGGGTTTGTTACGTAGTTTATGTTTAGTCTGAAAGGGTATTACTGTTTGTTTTTAGATATTAGATTTAAGTTGAGGCTTTAAAACCAATCCATGCTTATTTAAATTCTATAGTATTCTTTTAAATAGAATCTATAGAAAAGCACAAACTGTTTTATTGAAAGATTATGAATGAGCTTCGACAAAGCTTCGTATGCTAGATTGATTTAGGGGATGTGAAGAGGAGGAAAAATACCTCTGTTCACCTGGGCAACCAGCCTCACTTGAAGCACATCGGTGAAGCTGAATACAGGAAGAAAAAGGGCCGTTTGTACTTCTTGAGGAATTTCTCTTGTCTTGCATAAGTTTATCGAAAGTAATCTCTTCTGACTTGAAACCCAGCAAGCTAATAAAGAAGGCAAGCTCTGTTATAAAATCTCTAGAACTTCTGGAGATTCTTTTAAAAAGACGAATCGGTCATAAAATGAAGAACAAGGACTTTTATCTGTCTTCAGCCGAAGGCTTCTCCGGATTTGTTTTAAAACAGGGCAACTACAAGAGAGTCTTCCTGCCTACAACCACTTGTTGAAGTAACCCCTACTATAAGTTTCAACAATATTTAATTTTCCTTCAGGAATAATGTATTAAATTGGAAAACAAACATCTGCATTAAGCCGTCAGCTGGACTGATCAGGGCAGAGGTAAGTCATACGCCCCTTTACTCCTCAGGAGAGCATTGCTGCCGCTGGTTGGATTTGTCTTTTGACACATATACTCTAGACTGAAGTTAAGATGTAAACCAGCTGATTGCCTCTGCTAAAAATTAGAGCTAGACAATTACTGGTAATGAATTACTGATGAGCAGAGAATGTATCAATCCTCAACATTTTACTAGATGGTCTTAAATTAGAAGCAGCACCAGAAATGTTGAAATTATTTTTTTGTATAGGAAAACAAATAAAAATCAGAAACTGAAAGAGAACACATATTAGGATAGCTGGATATTAGGATTCATTCCCTGTTGAGTTTGTGTCTTAAAGTTATTTATCTAATCTTTGATGTTAAATGTATTTTATTTTCAGAGCAGGATTCTGCTTGAAATATGATGCATTAGGTCATTTTAATAAACAGATAATGGCATTTTTTAAATCTTATGACGACATATTAAGTAGTAGTTTTTTTTCCTCTATAAAACTGATCCATATAAATATATATATATTTATTATTTATTTATTTTAAACGTTGCCATGGATTGAATTGGATTGTCAGGATATGTCTATCTTGGACTTACCTCTGTGGTGAGATCAAATACAGGCTCAGATCTCTATCCACATTTCTACTTATATTAATATTTGCTTAGCTTTCAGTTTAGCTTCTGCCTGAAAGTCCAATTAATATTTTGTTCTGTGACCCATCCAGACTTTGGACTTCAATCGTTCAGAGAATTTGTACAGGGAGCCAAAGATCATATGAATGTGGATTTGTGTATTTATTATTCAATTGAAAAATGTTTGCTTCAAAAATATTTTCAATTAATTGAAACACCTTCACTTCAATGAAAAAAAAAAAAACTTCAAAGAAAAGTATTTGGGTAAGAGGAAGGTCTTCCTTAAATAAAAAAAAAAACTTCATCAAACCATTGGTGGAAACATGGAAAAGCAAATCTGAACAGGAATTAAATTAATGATTTAAAGACCTTCATACCAATATTTTCTATTGATTATTTAGGAGAGTTTTCATGTTTTATATGTCATAAAAGAAAATGCACATTACAGATCCCACTTTTGACGAAAAACACTTTTTTTTTATGTGTTACCTTATTTTCAGTCTTATTTAATATCGTCTATGGTTGGATACAGTACAAATTATTTTTAATTAAAATCTACAAGGTGTATTAATATTTTTCACCTCAAATGTAACTTTTCTTCCCAAGAAAAAGGACGCTTAATTATTTTAACATGCTATTCCTGCCCATGAGAACTGTTAATACACTCTGGCACCTTAACTGGGGATGTAGAGGTAAAATATTAGAGTGCACAGATTCAGTCACAAAAATAGAACCAAAGCAAAAGGCAAAGATTTTATAAAAAGATCTGACAGAAGAGAGCGAAATATTTACAACTGAAATATTACACAACAGCATCATTCAAACATGTAAAGAGGCTTTTTACAAAGAAATGTAGGCATGGGTAGAGAATTTAACCTTAAATGATCTTAGATATATATATTGGACTGTTCAACTAATTGAAATTCACAAAATATATACGAATTAGCCCTTTTACACAAGATCAGTCATCAAAATTTAGTCACAGAATAGAGAAAAACCACTAAACCTAATTAGCATACCAAATGTACATTTAGAGTTCATCTGTGTGTAAATGAACATAATCAGTTCTATATGCTCTTCATACATCAGTGATTTTAACAATGCTCAAACCCCATGTCATTTTCTGTATGTACAGTTTAAGTTGCTCATAGATAACAGCATCACTGGAAAGGATTTAATGGACGTTAATTAATGAAGTCCTAAAATATATGCGTTTTTTTAATTATGGCATGCCTTACCACCCGGGATGCCAATTACTCCAGGGAAAACACCCCGGGGTGGGGCTGGAGGTCCTTTATGGAAACTTCTACATAGACTTGTTTTATTAAAGGATGTTTTTTTGTGTGTGTTTGTTTTATTTCATTCAAATTTAAAAGAAAACCATTTTGAAAGAAGATTGTCTCTGAATCTGTAGTATGTCTTTGATAATATTTTATGACTTTTTTTCAAATTTCAACAATTTTCCTGAGCATTAAGCCATTTTGCACGGCATGGATTATTTTATTTATTACATTTCAGTTTTTTTAAGTATTAATTATACAAAACATAAAAAAATATTTTAAAGCATTTTTTCCATCAGTATAGCCTTTTTTCTTTTAATATTTTTCTTTCCTGTTTTTTTTTTAAACCAATATGGACCTTTCATGTGTCTGCAATAAAGAATTAAATAGCATATGATCAGGCTCATCTGAAACACTGGAGGCAAAAGTAAATGCTTTCTCCAGGGCACTATTCATGCATGAGCTGCCCCTGGTTACATGTGTACGTAAGAAGGCCCTCAAAAGAATAATTAATGATGTTTTGCAGAGTTGCCAGAGCACCAACATGCCAAGACAAACATAACTGCAGCGTTAATTAATTGAGGTTAACGAGTTACTTAATAACTCTTTATTTTTTTCAGAATGTGCTGATTTTGAAAACTCTTTTTTTCTATCTGATGAAAAATGCTTATCTTTTAAAGCAATCCCCCCGTGGTTATAACATTGCATAACTTAAATAAGGCTGCATCAAGAATAAACTAGTGGTTGGAAGTTTGGGCGATTCATAAAAAAATGAATATATTATAAACTGCTTTATTTTTTAAATTTAATGAAGGAGCTTGCTTATCTACATTTGACTGAAATAGCTGCAGACCAAACAGATACACCTGACTGCTATATATATTCTGTACATGTATTAACAGCAGCCCGTGTAGATTTCAAATGCCGATTAAAAAACCTTTTCTTAATATTTATATTCTTAATATTTTCTTGATATAATATTCTTACTATTTAATGTATGCTCAACTCATACGTGTAAAATGTAGAGGAAAAATAAGCTCACCATATTTTCATAATGAGGTTGTGACACATAAAATTACATGAGAAGTATCCAGCAGCCTCCACACTTATCAGAACTTCTGCTGATGATGTTTCAGACATCTTGAAGAGAATTAAAGAAACAGAAAAGGGTCTTTCATTTATTCAGCGTTGTGTTAATCTTAATGCGTTTAAATATGTTCCATCATTAAAGTTTGATTGATTCATTGTGGAACCCCAAAACAATTCAAATGAAAATATAGGATAGAAAATATTGTAAGACAAACTAGAAAATGAATCCTCAAACGTTTGCTGTTTAGGACCTGCAGTAAAGATTGACACTGAGGGGTCAGCAAGTTTCCATAGCAAATATCAGGCACTATCTAGATGCCACTTGGGCATTTGGGAAACTTAAATATTTGGAGTTTGCTATAAGCTACTGAGAACTTTCCCTTTGTGCTTTTTGTTCAGGTGAGATCACCGTTTGTTTTTTTTTAGCATCAAACATTGCGGGTGGATATATATATATATATATATATATATATATATATATATATATATATATATATATACCGGTATATATATATCTGGAAAAGTACCTCATGGCAACTGCTAGGCATGTTGGAAGAGCCATGGTGCAGGAAGCATCAAAACCTCTTGAAACCTTCTCAACTTGAGACCCAGCTTCAGGATTTAGGTCTTGCACCCAGACCTAAATC